CCTAAATCCCTAAAGCCCTAAACCCGAAATCCCTAAACCCTAAACCCTAAGCCCTAAATCCCTAAACCCTAAACCCTACATAACCCCTTTTATAACCCCTGAAGCCTTCGCCTCGAGTTCTGCCTCTGTGGGCCTCAGGTTTCACTTACTGGGTGATGAAAGGGGGAGTTGGGGTTCAGGGTGAAGGGTAGGGTTTAGGGTTTAGTGTTTTTTTCTTTTTAAACCCCTCGGACTTTTACGTCTGCGCTAAGCGCAAGGGGTACCTTGCCCATCTCCATAAACACCAGTTCAGTCAGTTTGAACGCTGCTGTCCCTGACATCCCTGCGGAGAAACATAGGGTTTAGGGTTTAGGGTTTAGGGTGGGGAAGGGGGAGCTGGGGAGTGGAAAAGAAGGTGGAGGCTACTAGGGTTTAGGGTTTAGGTTTATAGCTTTTAGGGCTACTGGTGCTTAAGGGGGAGGTGTGGGAGAGAATGCTGTTTAGGGTGGGCTTAGGTTGTTTTGCTAGCTTCGAGAGTTTGGGTTTAGGTTTCAGGGTCTCGGGTTTCGGGGTACTGCTGCAGGTTTGCATCTGTAAGGGGTATACAGGACTACTATCCAGGTGATGTATATGGTTTAGGTTTCTCAGTTGGTATGCACTGCTGCCGCTGAAATGCTGAAGTAGCCAGACATGCTGTGACACGCAATGCGCAGATCTTGGCATTGCCCAGTCACATGGGAAAGCGGTGAATGCACCTGCTCACTATGTCTTGCCTAGGGTGCGTCATTGACGGGGTTTTGGCGGGCCAAGGCAAGGATGTTAGTTATGCCAGCTGTCACTAGATCTCAAAAAGCAGGGTATAACGGCATGGCTACCACTTATAGTCCCCCTTAATTAGATAGAATATGGCTTTGGGTATATGATAATAGGATCCCCATATACCCCATATTCTATCTACTTAAGGGGGACTATAATTAAGCAAGCACTGGAAACCTATACATCTTCCAACTCCCACGCCAGCAACTAGGTAAAACCCAAATCGATTTAGCTGAGTTTCTTATTCACCTCGCCCGCAATCAACCCCTCAAACCTGTAAAGAGGTACAAATGACGACCTGCATGACCATGAGTACTTAAACAGCGCCGCCAAAAGGACAACGTTAGGCATCGAACTCTCTGCGGGCTTCCACCTAATGACTTTTGACCAATTGTCCCACAAATTCACAACTGTGCGCCCGAACCTCATTCGCTCGAAGAGGTCGTAGATCTCTCTGGAGAGCGCCTGCGCGCCCGCACAACGGCTTTAGAATCCAAATGCTTGGATGACTTCATGGCCAGTTCTAAGGGGTATATAACATTACACCTGGTATGTGAGCGCACTAATAAAAAAATGCGGTTTAAGGTATGAGGTATATCGGAGTTCTAGGGGTTCGGTCTTAAGCTTAGAGATCTGGACGTTCACGGGCAACTCTACAGGTCATAGGTCCCCGAAGATGACCAGTTCTACAAATATTTGTCCCACTTATTATAGGGCCCGTCCAGGGCACCGAAGTTTATCTCCAGGTATTAATGACGGTCTTATTGTATGGGTCCGTCTGAGAAACTAATATGAGGATCGGTTTCAGAAGCGCCCATACACCCATAAGAATATTACGATCCATACTATAGGAAGCCCTAGGCATCCACTGAGAACTCCGAAAAGGTAGCATCTGTGAGAAAAAGAAGCTCACAGAAACTAGCTGGAATCTATACCTTACTTGTCTCGGCTGTAGACCCTATATCCTCCCGTGGGACTTAACGTAAACAGGGGCCCCGACAGATCCCAACATCCTACCAGAAAATTCCACCCTTTTTTGGAACCCCCATCACCTAAACCCTTTCAATCACCATTTCTAGTTTAAATCTCCAATAAATTTCCCTCCTTGTGTCGGCTCACGTGATTCCCCTGAACCATACATACTCCATTATAACTCCTACGAAAATACCATAAATAAATAGGTATCCTTTTCTGCTTGTGTCAAAAGCCCTGGTGGCTCAGGCTCAGCCTCCTGAGAAGATACAGACGGAGTGGCGGTGCTGCCTTGCCAAGAACGCAAAACCATAAGCCCTCAACCTTTTGGATTGCACAGGCCTTTCCTGGACACCAAAAAATTGGCAAGATGCTGGCCCAAAACACCTCATAATCTTTCAAAAGAACAATTATTCTACATGCTTTTGCGGACAGTTATTCTACATATTTCTAGGGGTGCAGGTAAGGGTTGGAGCTTCATGGTTGATAGGGGTCAGGGTTCAAGCCATAGGTTCTAGGGTTTGAAGCTTACAGATGTACGGGTGTCGGGTTTACGGCTTACGGTTTATGAGGTCTGCGGATCAGGAATGCTGTCCACAGACGTAAATTGTCCAAACACACTTCTTGGGCCTCTTTTGGAGGGCTGTGCAGGTATTGCAAAGAGGATTATTTGAGAATAGGTAGGAAGGACAGAAACTTTCCAGGATCACTGATAGGTAGGTAGGATGGTATTCAAGCAGGGCAAGCTTAATTTGAGGCTACATAGGGAGAAACATGATTCTACCTCTCTGCAAACTAGATGGGAGTTGTACCGGCACTGTCACAGAGGGATTCAGTTAGCATTGCCACGGCAGGGGTCCTTTTGGGAGCTGCCCCTGCAATCGAGACCCCGCTTCGTAGGTAGTGCAGACTACAGACCTTCTGCACAAACTCCCAGTGTAAGGACTAAATCAACCAAAACCAGCAAGATGACAAAACACGAAATGGCAAACCACCAAACGCTGAAAGCACCCAAAACCATCTCAGAATTCCAACAACGCAAACGCAGGTCAGCGAAGACGCTTCGGCTGAACAGCCGCCAACTGGCCTGTCTCTGCTTTGAGTATTGGGATTCCCCCCCCTTTCTGACTATAATCACTATATGATACTATATGTAAGAGTTGCATGGATTTGCAATTTGCAAGAAAACGACGCATGATTCACAGAATTCCCTGTTTGTGGCGTCAGTTTCGGAGCTTGCTAATTTTCACATAGGTAGGGCTCTGAAGATTAATTACTGGCGTAGGAAACTGGGTTTGGAGATGCCGGGTGCAGGAAATCAACGGTTTAGGGGTTTGCTGGGGGGGCTCTGGGGTGAACATCCAGAAGTCACCGATGAGGGCCCCGGGCTTGAGTAAGGCTTCTCTGACTGTATATCTGGGGATGTAAGGCGCTCTCAGTCACGCTCTTACGGATTGTACTTGTGGGTACAAGCTGCACTTGCCGCTGGCACTCCTCTGAACTGAGCAATGAAGAAGATAAAGCAAATGACAAGCCACTAATCCTGGCATCTCCTTCCAGAAACGCGCGAATACATACTGTGGGGGCAAAGGGGTTTCCTAAAGCATAGATGCCTTGCTGACGATGTGGGTACTATCCGCGTACTTTGGCCCTGCAGTTGGGTGCATCCTGTGTCCAAGGTTTGAACTTCTCAACCTTCGGACAAGTAAGGATCAAGCAAAGTCGAAGCGAATCAAAACGCTAAAGCGGGCTTCCCCAGCCCCCCGGTCTCCAAAAAGCAGTGTAAGCCCATCAAAGCATTACGTTGGCTGCCCGAACGACTGCTGGTCCCTTCTTTCCCCGAATATCTCCTTTCATTGAAAATGTCGGTGCCGACCTGCGACATACAACCGAGAACCCACACTCACTCTTCTATTTTGCAGTTCTATCCTGCTGTGTCAAGACCAAGCCGCCTGCTCACTGCTCCACGCAGTCATGCACTCAAACCCGAGCCGTGCATCTGCGAGGAGAGCACTGTGCTGGGCTGGTGCAGGGCCACGAGGAAGCGAGAAGGCCGGGCAAGGCCAGAACAAAATCGAGATCTCTTGGTTGGCCCTTTTCTTTTGGAACCAAGAAAAAAGGAGTTGGTAGGCAGGATCCCTTTTAAATGACATGTGGGGAATTTCTGAAGTTCCAAGGCCAACTGAATCCTATTGCTCAACTAGGAAACGAATATCAGTAGGGCCTCTATTATAAATCACCAAATACTACGCTGCTTATACATAGAGCCAGCCATCAGCTACATGTATGTGCCAAGCGAATTAGCGCTTTCGCTGGGCTAACTTCTGCCTGAGCTGTCTTTCTAATTCATCTTCACCAAGCTCTGAAGCTGCCCAGACAGACATTTGCAAGTCTTGCAGGCTCAAAACCATAATTTGACAAGTCAACTGCTCAGAAAGGACGTGCATTGCCACGAGAACCCCGGGTACTGCATCTTGCAACTTCGCAGCCGCCCAGAAGCAAGTTGACAGCTCTTGAGGAACCATGTCTTCGACCTTGTCAAGGATACGTGACGCAAGGGCTGGAACTGCCGTAAGCACCTCCGGCACTGCATCTTGCAACCTCGCAGCTGCCCACAGACTGTTTGACAGCGCTTGAGGCACCATGTCCTCTGCCTTGTCAGGGATATGTGACGCAATGGCGGGAACTGCAATAAGCACCTCCGGCACTGCGTCTTGCAATCTCGCAGCTGCCCAGAGGCTGTTCGACAATTCTTGAGAAACCATGTCCTTTACCTTGTCAGGGATGCGTGATGACATGGCAGGAACAGCCGTAAGCACCGCCGGCACTGCTTCTTGCAACTTCGCAGCCGCCCAGAGATTATTCGACAAGTCTTGCGGAACCATCACCTCTACCTTGTCAGGGATACGTGACGCAAGGGCGGGAACTGCCGTAAGCACCTCCGGCACTGCATCTTGCAACTTCGCAGCTGCCCACAGAGTGTTTGACAGCGCTTGAGGAACCATTCCTGCTACGTTGCTGGGGACTTTTGACGCAATGGCAGGAACTGCTGTAAGCACCTCCGGCACTGCATCTTGCAACCTCGCAGCCGCCCAGAGGTTGTTCGACAGGTCTTGAGGAACCATGTTTTCGACTCCCTTTACGATACACTTTGCAATGTCCGGCGCAGCAACTGACACTTTCGGCACGGAATCTTCAAGCTTCGCAGCACACAGCAAGCAGTTCGATAGCTTTTGTGCTTTCATGGCAGATGCCTTCTGCTGTACGTATTTGCTGAGCTCAACCACAAGAGGCTCATTGCAAGCATCCACTTTGTCGTATAGCTCTCCATGTGCCCAGAACACATTGGCAGCCGCACGTGCGCCTAGCTTGTTCTCCCTGAGCATGGAGTTCAAACGTGCCACCAGCCTGGGCCACCAAGTTGCCTCCTCTTGCTGAACCTTGCCAGCCGGGTAAATGCGGCTGACAGGTGAAACTCATTGAAGACCTCGTGGTCCACTTCTTCACCCACCACTTTAAGGATCGAGGCGGCAGACTCGGCCTTGGAGATCTTTGACGTCAGCACCCTGGGATTAGGCCCGAGACTCCGCGGACTTTGCTCTGCCCGCCTCCGCTCCCGTACTGCCCTTGCAGTTTTCGAGGGCGGAGATGGACAAGCTGGATGGGTGGAGCGCGTTCCATGCGGCTGCCTAGGAATGCTGTTTAGGTAGTCCACAAACAGTGGCTGCCTCCAACCCCCAATGCACATTATGTCCATCAGGAGCATCCCCCATAAGAATGCAAGTAAGACGGGCCGGAAGCCTGCCGGTACAACTGGCCTCCTGCCAGCGGTCAACATGGCAGAGCTAAGGGATGAGGCAATTTCGAATCAAAAACACCTCGAGATGGCTGCAGTGCGGCAAGCCCTTGCAGCAATAACTGAGACATATATGGCTGCAAGTTTGGCTAGTGGGGCTCAACTATCATGCGGAACCCAGAGAAACCGCCGTGAAGAATCCTGAGCCCTGCACTCAAACGCGCCATATACCTCTTGGGAAACACCGACCTAACACAAATCACCCTCAGCCCCCAACCACCAAATAGCATGCATTCTACGAATCTCCAGTGAGGATAACATCGATGGTACGGACGCATTAGCTAAAGCTTTGAGCTTCAACGCGCAAGCTTCGCAGTCCAAACCGTCACAAACTCTATACAGACCCGAAGATTGAAACTGCTAAGCCACAAACTATGCTGAAAACCTATGTCCAAAATGCTGGCAGCCCTCCCCCACCCTGACCAAGAGAAAACCCTGCACTTTGAGGCGCAGCCTCAAGCCGTTCTGCTTCAGATGCCACAGAGCGCCCAAGTCGCCTGAAAATGAGGGCTGAATAAGACGATCATATCACTATCATAGATGAGGGGTTTTGGTCTAGGGCTTAGGCTGTTGAGCTTCGGGCTTGGGGGTTCTGGGTTTTCAAAAACCTCCGCATCTACTTGCAAAATGATACTTGACATTTCGCATCTTGCCACTCCTAGACTTCTTAAGCCTTCTCAATGCAGTTGCCCAAGCCACCACCCGCCTCGGCCCCATCGGTAGAGATTGGGGCACTCAGGGCAGAGCGTCCGAAAAAATGCGCGCAATCGAAGGCCAACCTAGAATACAGCTAGTCATGCACGTTTCGGCTGGAAGAAATGAGGCCTTCGGAGAGTTTGGCCTTTGAGTCCAAGCATTGGGTCCAGAAGAGGGAGAAGCCAATGAGTCTTGAGACTTGAGCTGTCCTGGGCCTCAAGGTTTTCCTGCCAGTTTGTGTTGCGGTTTTGTGTAAGATTTCTGTCCTGAGCTTGGAGTATGATGTAGCCTCTGTCTTGTACCCAGGCGAGCTTTCTTCTGAAGCTTTGCCATCGTGAGTCTGCAGCTGATACCCACAAAGAGGCAAAACCACAACTTCGAGGAAAGCGCGAACGCATATGGTAGTTTCCCCGAATAAGGGCAGGAACCCTGATAAAGACCTTAATATATTACAATGGGGTCGCCGAAAAAGGTACACTTATAAATGGAAATCCCCATATGTAGCAGCTCTACCAAACTCAAAGCTCACAGCTCTGCACCTATCACCCTGAAACCTAAAGTGGTACACCAAAAGAACGAGGACGGCCTGTGCCATGGAGCCCTGGCGCTGACAACGCGGCAGAGAGCCCGCGAAGCCATCTCTACTTGACAGGGTTCTACCTACTATAGTATAGGGTACAACCTAGCGTAGCCAATGTATTGAGAAAAAAGGATGTGTACCTATCATATTTCTGGTATCCTTACCTTTGTTGAAGGGTCTGGGTTACTGTAGGGGGTGATGCTCACGCGTCCGGGTTCAGGGCTTTGGGATGAGGTTCAGGCTCCAGCAGATTCAGTATTTAACGCTTAGAGGTTCAAATCGCCCAGGAATACTTGCTGTTGTTATAAAAGCCGTCATTGAACTGGATTCAATATTTAGGGCTGAGGGGTTCAGATCTCCGACCAAAAAGTACTTTTGTCGTGTAGAAGCGGTCATCGCAATCTCGTGTAATGAGAAAAACGGCCTACCAGCCTACCTTTGCCGTGCGAGAATCGCTGCGGGCTTCGAGTTTCTACACGGAAGAGGAGTTCCAGTTCCGAAAGGACTTACGATAGGGGCCTAAGTAATTGCCCATATCATTCTGCAGTCTATCCGAGGTACCCTTTACCATGATTCTACAATGAATCCAGGATCATGAGGTTGGTAATTTAGGCTTCTACGATAGGTTTCAGCTGCTGAAGGTAACAAGCACTCTCGCGAGATGCAAGAAGCACATAGTCCGCAGCGTCCCCCACATCCAAAGACCGAATCTTCCACCCAGAAAAGGTTGACAAGAAGATGCCAACAAACCAGGTGAATGACAGGCTGAAAGCTTCAACAAAGAAGGTAGCAAGGGTTGTTATACAGGCCGTGGGCCCTCATAGGAAGGCAATTTTCTGCGCTGTAGTACAGAGGGAATTGTCTGCAAACATGGCACTTGTAGGGTGATAGGATGCCATGCTTTTTGAAACATTGATGGAACTTATCCTCACAATCCGCAGGGTACTGAAAGATGAACAAGACCGTCATGTGCACGGGTCATGAATGAAGCGTGGCATCCAAGAGCAGTAGACCTCATAGTCAAGATCAGAGCCCTTCACGACTACGAGGCCAAACCTCTTCTGTATCCGGCCCCTCACAAACCTACTGGCCCTCATAAACCTAATGCCAATGGACACGATAACCCAAAACCAAACAAATTTGTATCACAGTTGCTGTTACCAAAAGCCTAATTAAGCAACTGAAGGAACCCCCCCCAACCGTACATCAAGCCCCTGAGACCTGAATGGTGGATTTCTCAGTTGGGGGATCTTTCTTCAGGACGAGATGGGGGCTGCTGCGAGAAACTCTCAGAGTAGCCACGCGTCGTCCTTTTCTGACGAAAGAACGCTCCGTTGTCCTTCAGGAAGCAATGGCCCCCAACGCGGAAGTAGAGGCTTATTTCTCCAGCGCCTTTGGATTTTTAAGTTTAGGATTATAAGCAGAGTTTAATGTTGAAGCGGGGCTTGTAGGGTGCAGGGAGACTGTAGCCTGTCAAATAAAGCTCAAAACGTGTCAAGGCTTCGAACTGGAGAAGTAAGGCCGGTCGCATCCAGGTCTCTGGCCGGATCTCCCCGTGAACTCAGAGGGTCCAAATACCCAATAATTTGGTACTTGGGTTTTGGGGTAATAGTAATTAAATTGCAGGTTCTTGGGGGAGGATATGACTATTTTGTACATAGACTCTTAAGGGAAGTTTCTGAGGCTCCCACCGGAGTGGTGATTCTACTTGGCCTAAGCTATATAATCCAGCAAGGCCTCGAATGAAACCATCTTGGGCCCCTGAAACCTGCAAGGCTATTCCCCATGTGCTTTGTGGTGCAACTTCGGGCTTAGGATTGAGGGATCCAACGGCAGCTTTGAACCCCCCTCCAACTTGGGAATCCTAATTTCCGCGCTTGTCTGTAAGGTTGTGGACAGGGCCGGGTATCTGAAGCTGGACACGGCCCCCTATACTAAAAGCCACCACCCCCTCGTAACACAAATTCTCAAAATAGTACCGGGACGTACTACGAGAACATATATTACTAAAGGGGTGTATGGCTTCAATTATACTGACCTATGCCTGCTTGGGACAAAACCCTCAAACAAATGTGAAGTTTTCCTAACGAGCTGGCTCCTATCCGTCCACAATCCGAGTGGTTTCTGGTCCTACAAGAGGAATACTAGAGCCTGTCTATCTTACGTTGTAAAGAAACTATCGCGATGACGACGTGGAAGATTCGGTGCAAAGGGCAGCACTCAACAAGCTGCTGCCCGACCTCAAGAACAGCTTTCTGAGAGTAAGCTTGACGGAAAATAGGGTGTGCGCAGGAGCGGATCTATTTAGCCCCCCAATAATCCACATCATACTTCCCCATAAGGGTTTCCCCCTTCGAAACGTATGACACTGATGGCGCCCTTGCATGTTGATCGGAGCATTAACAGGGATTGTCGGAATAAAATTGGGAGCATAAAGCTGGTGTAGGGAGCATCGAGTTGAGGGATGACCTTGCCACGGGAATCCACATAGCACAAACTAGGAACTAGTCACGCATAGACTTTAAGACCTAGAGTAGATATCATGCATAGAGCCTGGTGGTTCCGAATGTCTCCTAACTCTTCTTCTTCTTGGCAGATTCCATTTCACGAAGCTCAGAATTTGGGTTTAATGTTCGGGGTTTAGGGAACAAGCAAGCCGGGGATCAGGAAAAAACAGAAAAGCTCACAGTGCGGCCTTGGCGCTGACAGTTTCTGGGTGGCTTTTAACCTTTAAGGAACTTACATTAAATTACCATTCTATTGGTATAGCGTACATAATAAGCTCCTCAACTAAGGAAACCGTATTATTCACTATATACCCATATTACAACAACTGTTTTGGGAGCTTCTTAACTGCAACCCAGATATACTGCACATGTTTCACTTGGAAGTGCCCGCCACCAATCCTGAACAAAACCACACAGCCTGGGGACCTGAGCTTTTGACAAATCCACAGCGCAAACATTCCCAGAACCCTGTGGATTCTATGGTGGTATATGTCTTCATCATACAGGAGCATCTAGGTTTTTGGGGCCTGTTTAACTACGAAAATCAAATCTAACATTGGAAAACCCAATCGAAATCTTGATGGGGGAGGGGTGATATTTAGAGTTCGCTTGGAAAATGATCACAATCGTCCTAAAGATCCCTCAGTCCCAAACCTGGGGCTTCAAATCCGTAAAGTGAGAAGCGCTTTGGGTCCTACTGCAAATACATCTTGCCTACTTTAGCCTGCTTGGAGTTTGGAGCCCTAGGAAAGGCTAAGTACACAAGTGGAATTCGACCGCGGCGCGACAGTGAGGCTATCATTGAAGGATGCTCCCGGAAGGGAGCCATGTGGCACTATTCCAAGATTAGGTGGCCCAACCCTCTTATTGGGTCGTATGCTCGGAGCCCTTCCCCCCACAAAAAAGTCAATCACCTCTGGATGAGTTGCTTAATTGGGTACACACAGGATAACCTCAAAAATTGTGAAACTCCAATACCAAGGCCACACTGGCCTTCTGCCAAGCTAGTATAGCCCAAAACTTGTACAAAGCAGCTAGAGCTAGAAGAACTGCCAGATGAACAGGAACAACCAAACCTTACACCCTAAACCCCAGAATCTAAGAGCTAAGCCACCAGGGCCAGTCACTAGGGTGCTAACTAAGTAAGGCACGGTAACAAAGTATTGAGAAACATGTGTCAGACCATGATATTGTGTGTA